GTGCTTCCTCTTAGGGTTATGTTTGAGAGGTTCTAGAAAAATCAGAATAGCACTAAATTTGGCAGAAGCTCCATTTCAGCATCAGTTCAAATGTTCCTTTGACATGGTGAAAATTTCAGTTCATCGGCAGCTTTGGTTTTAACGCGACATTTTTTCAATTGGCTAATGCAAGTGGCCAAAGCCGAAATTTTCTGCGTCACGTTCGAAAGCCTCTGAAAAATCAAACTTCAATGAAACTTTCTCTGAGCTTTCCTTTATTGGTTTGTTTGATAGTGGAACAATTTTGGGCAGCAGCCTTCTTTGGTTTGAAAGTCAGATTTTTTTCAATCTGACTATGTAAGACGTAAGTTTTTAAAGGTGCTTCCTCTTAGGGTTATGTTTGAGAAGTTCTAGAAAAATGAAAATAGCACTGAATTTGACGGAAGCTCCATTTCCTCCAATGCTCTTTTGACTTGGTACAAATCTCAGTTCATTAGCAGCTGTGGTTTCAACGTGACATTTTGTCGATTGGCTACTGCAAGTGTCCAAAATCGAAATTTTCTGCGTCACGTTCGAAAGCTTCTGAAAAATCAAATTTGTCCTGGATTTCAATGAAACTTTTTCTGAGCTTTTCTTTATTGGTTTGTTTTATAGGGAAAAAAATTTGGGTTGCAACCTTCTGTGGTTTGAAAGGAAGATTTTTTTCAATCTGACTATGTAAGTTTTTAAGGGTGCTTCCTTCTGGGGCTATATTTGAGAGGTTCGTAAAAATTCAAAATAGTACTGATTTTGGCAGAAGCTCCAATTCAGCATAAACTCAAATGTTCTGCTGACTTGCTCAAAATTTCACTTCATTGGCAGCCTTGGTTTCAACGTGAGACTTTTTTCAATTGGCTTCTGCAAGTTACCGAAATCGCTTATTTGCTGCATCACGTTCAAATCCCTCTGAAAAATTACAGTCACATTGGGTGTCCATGAAACTTTGTCTCAGTTTTCCTTTATATGCATGCTTTATAGCGGAAACATTTTGAATCGTAACTTTGTTTGGTCTGAGAGTGAGAATGTTTTCAATCAGACCATGTAAGTGTTTGTGACTGCGTTTTATTAGGGTCACATTTGAGGAGTGCTACTTGATCAAATGCTCAGGTTGGATCAAAGCACAGTTAATAACTTTTTTACTGTAATACACTCCTAAATCCGGCTGATGAGCTCTAATAGGTAAAAACAAAAACTTGCGCTTATGCCATTTTTATATTCGGTTTTATTAGCAAACTTTAAACAAATGTTTGGTTCTCTAGACATTTTAATCGTCCACACTGTTTAGAATTTGGAAAGTGCCCCAAAACACACTTTTCACAAAGCGTTAGTTTGCGACTTCAAAAAGACTATATGAAATGTCAAGACAACATTAATTTTAAAAAATCGCCAAACTCAATTCTCTCACATTCAAACTGTGAGAAACTCTAAAATAAAACAATCAAAAACATGCTTCTGTAAGGAAACAGACACAATTTAAAGCTGCATCTATTCAATACGCACAAAGTGTTGATCTAAATATAAAAGTTGTTCTCTTAAGTTTCCTTATTCTGAGAAACAAACCGTTTATTATTTGATTCAACGCGTTTAATTATTAACACTGGCCATCGTTGATATGGAAAATCGATAATACCCAATCCTGAAATAAACTGTAATTGGCTGCATGCATTACTTGAAACAAACGCACAAATTGATGGTGTTAAATTAGTGTTTTCTCGCTTATAATAATGTGTGGTTAATAGTGCTCGAATGGGAGCTTTGGTTGATTCTGAATCCATAATATTCTAGCACATTCGCAGTAACATGAATTTGCCATTTGCTTTCATCGCGTTGCGAATCTGTGGAATTTTTCATGTTTTTCAACTTTTCGAGCCATAATATCAGCCGATTTTCAACAGGTAATTCTTTGAAATGCGATTTTGTGGAAATATTTAGGCCTAGCTG